CGTCCTGCTTCATGGCAGGTTCCGACCGCTGTCCCCGGGAGACGTCGTCCTCACCGGGACCCCTCCGGGGGTTGGCTTTAGCCGGAAGTCCCCCGTCTTCCTGAAGGTGAGCAGCAGCGCTGGAGAAATTGCAGCTCCCCCTTGGGAGTTGGCAGTAAGGGGGGGCCTGGAGATCTGGCCTCCCTACCGCACGGCTGGGCCCAGCACTGGGTAGGGACAAGAGGGAGCTGGGGGGGGTCAGGTACCCCCACAGGCAGTGGGGCTCGGTGCAGACGCAAGGGCTTGCCTGAGCAGCTGGAACTGCAGAAGAGTGCGACAGCTCTGGCCTCTCCTTGTTCCTGGAGTGAGTGCTGTGTTCTTCCCTACAGCCACTAGGGGGCGCTCATCAGGGCCAGGCAGGTACACGGCTGCACTGCTATTGGCTGCAGCAGGGCCCAGACGGGCACCTGCCTGTTTTCCCTCAGCTTTGGGCCCTTGGTTATAATCAAACAGCCCTGCCTGGGGCGCCCGTCACAGTGCCAGGGTTTCAGAGGGAGCGGGGTGGCCACAGGTCCTCTATGCTAGGCCCAAGAGGGCTTAAAGGGGGCACAGGGCCCACCTGTGCTGGGGGCCCCAGGGCTCGAACGCGAGGGGGGAGGAGTGTTGGGGGATGGGGCAGGGCAGTGCTCCGGGCACCCTTACATTGCTTGGCCCCTTGCAGAGAGGAGACGTGGTCCAGTGTGAAATCGACGAGCTGGGAGCCATCCAAAACAAGCTGGTGTGAGGACACCTCTGGCCCCCAGGGCTGATCGGCGCCGGGGGCAAGCACAGCACTGCCCGGGCCGTAGCGTTGTGCAATAAACCTCTCCCCCAAGGGCTCGCGGTTCCCCCGTGGGGCCAAGCTGTTGTTAAAGGGACGGCGGAGGAGGCCTGGGGTGCTCGATTAGCTGCAAGGAAAATAAATGCACTTCCCTGCCCTGTGTGTTTGGGGGGCTACCAGCTGCTCTAAGTGGGGGGCGTGAGGGTGAGAGAGTCTGACAAGGGGCAATCTGAGCCTGGCACTGCAGAATCGGCCCCTCCCCTGGCTGCTCCGATGTGACGAGAGGGGGGCAGGCCTGGGCCCCCGGGGGCCTGGTGTAGCCCCGAGGCACCGACATGCACAGGGATTGGTTTTCACAGCAGGGACCCACCGGCCTGCGCCCAGCCAGTAAAAGCAGCCAGAGCCGGAGGCATCCAGGGGAGATTTACTGTGATCTCACTAGGGGTATTTCAGCCACCCCACGGGGTCACGCTGCCCGGGCACGCGCGATCCCCAAGCAGGGCAGGCCGATTCCGCAGCTCTAGGTGAACTGCCAGATGAATTTCTCCAGCCGCTGGCAGTTCGCTGGGGTGCTGAAGGTTTCCGAGAGGTGGAGGATGGATCCTGCCGGGCCTGGCTGCTCCCTCAGCACCTGGGCAGAGGGAGGAAGGAAGAGTTGCCACCCAGAAGGGCTGGGGCTGCCCCAGGAGAGATCTCATCCACCCGCCCGGCTGAGGGGAGGTAGAGCATCCTGGCAGAAACTGCCGCCCCAGGCTGGTTGGGGCCTGGGCTCAGCAGGGTGCAAGCGGGGGAAGGGATGCTGGGGGTGGGCAGGGGCAGGCCGGGGCACACTCACCCCCAGCTCCTTGAAGGTCCGGACGGAGCTCAGGGCCAGGTTCCTGTTGGCGCACTCTGGGAAGAGACGGCAGTAACCTGAGCAGTGTGGGCTGGGGGCAGGCGGGGCGGGACAGAGACCCCCACACTGGGCACCAAACAGACCCTCCTAGCCCAGCCCCTCCTCTGCCCTGCCCAGGCCAATCAGCTGCACTGTCACTCCGGGGCAGGCAACCAGTGCCCCGGAGCAGCACTCTGATCGTGGTGGGGAGCTGGGCCCACGGCTCTGGGGGCAGGCAGCCACCACCCCTCACCTCCAGGATCTCAGTCGGCTAACCGATTAAAGGGGGTTTTACATCCCTGCCTCCTGCCCTGGGAGTTCTACGCTGGGTCCTGCAGCAGCCTGGACAGACAAGCAGCCCGTTGGCATTGAACCCCCTTTCATGCAAAACACCCAGGAGCTGCACGGGGCAAGGCAGGACTCACCCCAGAGCAAACGCTGGGCCCACGGTGCTGCCGCGATGCCCCACTTCCTGCCTGTCCCCGGTCACTTTCCAGCCTGGGAGCCGGAGGGTTACAACCCAACTCCGCATTTGCCACTGGCCGCAGGAGACTGATCATCCTGCACACGCTGGACGCCCGCAGGGGCCTGGTGTCGCATCCCGGTGCTGTTTGCCCAGCTGCCAGCAGGGGGCAGACAACCCCCTGCTCAGGCACCCTGGCTCCAGGTCTGCTCTTACCCAGGGACCCCAGAGGCGCAGGAGCCGGGAGGGAGGGTCCCCAGCCCCAGAGCTGGGCAAGAGCCCAGAGCATCTCCCCCAACTCACCAAAGGAGCCGTCCTCTCTCGCCTTCTGCACCAGGAACCGCTGCAGCTTCTCCACGTACTCCAGCTCTGGGAGGGCAGACAGAGGGTGGGAACGCCTGGCCCCGATCCTCAGCTCACACCTCAGTGGGGCTAGACGTTCCCCTCTCCCAGAGCTCAGCCCCCCCATGCCGCTGCAGCCAGGAAGGGAGCAGCGGGACGCTAAAGCTGCAGGCCCCCAAAGGCGCTTGCCTGGCAGCTCAGCTCTCAGAACACGGCTGCAGTGTGGCCCTGCTCCCTGCCTCGGTTTCCCTGGGAGGAGATCCCGGGGGCTAGGAGAGTGTAGCCTTTAAGGGGGAAGAGCAACATGCCTGAGAATCCCCCCTTTAGCTGGGCCTGGGCACTTGTCAGCAGCGCCCTCAGGAGTCAGGCTGGGCCCGCGCAAGGGGGCGTGGGGCTCACAGGCTGGGAAGGCTGGAGTGGGCCCGGCTTTGCTAACGCTGGGCCGGGGGCGTACCTGGCTCAGGGCAGCCCGACTGGAGGAGGAAGGCAGCTGCTCTCTCATAGGTCTTCAGCAGGGGGCCAGGGAGGCTGCAGAGGAGGAGGAGGAATTCTGGGCAGTTGTCCAGCTGGCTTACCTGGGGGGAGAAGACCCATCAAGCCGGGCTGAGCCCAGGCCTAGACTTGGAGGGGTACGGTCGCCGTGAAAGGAGTCTGGGGGGGGACACAGGGAGCGCAGGGCAGGGCTGTGGGGCAGGACGGGCACTGGCTGAGCTCCAGGGGAGCCCAGGGCCGGCACGGCAGAGGGACAGGATGGGTAGGGAGGGGGACA